TCCCCCTCTCTCTCTCTCCCTCCCTCTCTCTGCCCCGCCGTGTCCCCCCACATCTGCGGTGTCCCCCAGGTGGCCATCGCGGGCGCCCCGGTCACTGTCTGGATGGCCTACGACACAGGCTACACCGAGCGCTACATGGACGTGCCCGAGAACAACCAGCAGGGCTACGAGGCGGGCTCCGTGGCCCTGCACGTGGAGAAGCTGCCCAACGAGTAAGGCCCCACGGTCCCTGGCTCTGTCCAGCCGGGACGCATTCCCCATGCCAGGCGCCCCGGCCTCTCCTCTGCCTGCCCGTGCCCCTCCCACCAGGCCTCCTCCCCAGCGCCCGGAGGAGGGGCACCCTGGGATGCTGGGGGCAGGACGCCCGGCCCTGCCAAAGCTCGCCACTCACGTGCACAGACCCCGCCCCCAGGGACTCCCGCCAGAGCACCCAGGCAGGAGTCCTCTGCCAGTCTCTGCCTGAAGGGCGCTGTCTTGGGTCCAGAACATAGATGTGCACGGTGGCTCCGACACGCGGGCGTGGGACCAGCAAGAGGGCTCGTTTCACATCTTCGACATTGGCCTTGTTCTCTGAGAGAATGCGGACTTGCCATTTTCTGGTGTGTTACCACCTGGTTGGTGTCACCCACAGTCCAATGCAGTCAGTCATCTGGAAGGCTTAAAAGTCCACCTATGCTGGGCACGGTGGCTCATGCCTATAATGCCAGCACCTTGGGAGGCAGAGGTGAGAGGATTGCCTGAGTCTGCTGCAGGTTCAAGACCAGTCTGGGCAACACGGCAAGACTTTGTCGCTACAATGAATCAAAAAATGAGCCAGCCATGGTGGCATGTGCCTGTAGTTCCAGCTACTTGGAAGGCTGAAGTGGAAGCATTGCCTGAGTCTAGCCTGCAATGGCTTGAGCGTGCCACTGCCCTCCAGCCTGGGTGACAGAGTGAGACTCCAACTCAAAAAACACGAAGGAAAAAAGTTATCTAGGCATGGTGCATTCCCAGCTACTCGAGAGGCGGAGGAGGGGGGTCACTTGAGCCCAGGAGGTCAAGGCTGCCGTGAGCTGTGATCATACCACTGCACGGCAGCCTGGGTGACAGCGTAAAAGCGCAAAATAGAACACAGCTGCCTGCCCTCCCAGGGTGCTGCTCTCTGTGGTCTGGAGTGTGACCTGGGCTCCCCGGCTAGGGTGGCATGCAGTCCCACAAGCACCTGCTGCTCCAGACCTCGTTGACTAGTGGAGAAGCCAGTTGCCATGGTGGCTGTTGGAACTGAAGTTCAGTCCAGGCCAGCGAACTAATAGGTCCATCGAGGCAGCACAGAGTAGTGGCTACCAGGGATGGGGAGGGATTGCTGATGGGAGCATTCTGGAACTAGGCAGAGATGATGATCCCAGCCTTGTGAACACGCCAAATGCCCTGAACCGTCCACTTACAAATGGCCGCTTTTAGCTGATGTGAATTTCACCTTGGTATATCATTATTATTATTATTATTTTACTTTATTTTTATTTATGTATTTATTTTGAGTCGGAGTCTCCCTCTGTCGCCTAGACTGGAGTGCAGTGGCCGCTCCCGGCCACCGCAGCCTCGACCTGCTGGGCTCCAGCGATCCTTCCGCCTCAGCCTTCCGAGTAGCCGGAACTACAGACACGTGCTACCACGCCTGGCTATTTTTAATTTTATTGTAGAGACGAGGTCTCGCCAAGTTGCCTGGGCTGGTCTCGAACTCCTGGGTTCAGGCCATCTACTCGCCTCAGCCTCCCAAAGTGCTGGGATGACTGGCTGACCCACTGAGCCCGGCGTTGATACATTATTTTTAAGTTGAATTTGTTTTTTGATTCTGATTCTCAGTCACTCCAGCCAGGTTTCGAGTGCTCGGTTGCCACTTGTATTGGCTGGTGCAGGTCTAGAACATTCTGCCGTCCCCTGCCTGCCTGGGTCAAGAACGGCAGGGTCTGCCAGACCCAGTCGTGCCCTAGCTGTCTGTCTGGGGAGCGACTGAGCACACAGCAGCCGTGGGCAGGGGCCTGGCTGCACCGAGCCAGCAAGGCAGGTGCCAGGCCCGGGGCCGGCTTCCCCCCCAGCCCTGGCAATCCTGGCCTCAGGCTCACGTCCTGACTGTTTTCCAGGCCCAACCGCCTCCTCATCCTCCATGGCTTCCTGGATGAAAACGTGCACTTTTTCCACACAAACTTCCTCGTGTCCCAGCTGATCCGGGCAGGAAAACCGTACCAGCTGCAGGTGGGTGGCACCTGGGGCATGGCCCCGCTCCCCAGATGCAACCAGAACTCCAGGGGACATACGTACTGCTGGGCAGCCAGGCGTGCGGGATCACCGCCCGCCGCCATGCTCCCGCCCCCCAGCGAGGCCTTCCCATGACCGCTCAGCCCCTGGGCTCCCAAGGGTCCTGGTGGCTCCTGAGGCCGCCCTGCCTTCAGTACTAGGAACATGGGCCTCAGGGGAGCGGCAGGCCCGCCCCAGGGCCTGGCGGGAAGTCGTCCTTACTAGCGCCATCACACAGTCGCCTCATTCCCAACCGGGAAACTCTGAGAAGAGACTGCGAATTGCCAAAAGCATCTGGCGGGTTGTGACTGAGGGTCCTGCAGGTCTGAGCCTTCCCAGGAGGTGGCATGTAGCCGCACGCTTAGCATACGTGAGGAGTCAGCCAGGCTGGGGGGCCCCAGCGGAGGACATAGAAGCCGGGAGGGAGCAGCTCTGGCCCCGGGGAGGGAGGGCAGTGGGGCCGGGGGTGGGGCCTCAGGGCAGGCCCTG